TAACCATTACTGTTCTTTTGGACCAGTGGGTTTTGGAATTTCCTTTCATCAGACTTTGAAAAGTGCTTGTTTTATAGCTGTCAATTTTGCATTATACTTAAAAGCACTGTTGTTTTAGAGCCGGACCTACTTCCCAAAAAAACCCCATTCTTTTTTTTCCCCAATAGAACTGAAACCTTAAAAACACAGTGCCTAGACTCAACCCACAGATTCTAATTGTGTAGTTGGGGTGGGTGTCAAGCCAACTCTGATTTTTTCAAAAATCTCCTGCAGGATTCAGATCAAGGTAGGATCAAAGACTAGGAAACACACAGCCTGCCTCTTGATAAGTTCCCAGAGTGGAATCCAGAAGGGGAAGGTCTGTGGTCAGAGTGGCCTTTTTGAAGTTTTTTTTTTTTAATTCCGGTATATCAGAAATTTGGATGGAAGTAAGGAAGGAGGCAGGCAAGAAAGGAAGGGTTCAGAAGCCACTTGGAAAAGTTATCCTTATGTTTGACTTGGCCCAGTAGAACTTGCAAGGAGTCTGTCAAGTTAAATTGTGAAAATATTCTGTTTCTGCATTCAGGAATCTTATTCTGAGGAGAGGAAAAATTACATTCTTGTTTGATTTAGGTTTGAATTAATTTTACTAGAGATTAGATACTGCATGGAGATTTAAATTTATACTATTGTTCCCATGGTTTGTTTTGTTTTTTGAGATCAGGGTTTTGCTCTGTAGCTCAGATCTGGCCATGGAGCTCATGATCTCCAGCCTCACCTTCTGAATTGCTGGGGATTACAGGGCATTGGGCCACTATGCCTGGCCGCCTGCATGATTTTTAAGATTGCCATGACGTGAGGCCCTTAAGTTTAAACCCCAGTTGACCACCAAAAAAAAAACAAGCCACTAGCTTTTCAAATTGATTATTCTTGATTAAAAGCGTATTTTCGCAGACCTGTCGCTCTTCATATGTGTTTGTTTTAATGTCTGTGAGTAGGACGAGATTTCTCCCTCTAACTGTATTCCAGTTATCCCTTAAGTCATACATATAATTTAACTTGTACTTTAAAGGTACTGCTTTCTAACAGGTCATTTAAACAGGCTAGTCGGAGTAATTGTGAGAAAGTTAGATTTTGCATCAGAAATCTGCTGTTATTTCTGAAAGTAATGTTTTTACTTTGGAATAATTCTATTATTTGCAGAAATGTTGCAAAGATATACAGCTCCCGGCCTACTCCTCCCTGAGGAAAGAACTTGTCTAAGTAAATTCACTAGGTTTTTCAGATTACCACTGTTCTTTGGCTGAAGCGTCTGCTATGCTGTAAGTGCTTATGTTAGCCTTCGTTTGTATCTGAAACCTAAATACAGATTACGGAATCAGACTGATGATTCTTCCCAAGAGGTCATGATGGTATAGGTGTTGACCCTCTAGCTGCTTAATGAACAAAGGTTGTTTGTCTTTCTCCCAACATTTATTATGAAACTTTTCAAACATATAGCAACATTAAAATATTTTATGGTGTATGATTCAGCAATACCACTTTCGGAATACCCAAAAGAATGTGAACAGGTTACTCCAGAGCACCTGCACACCCATGTTTATTGCAGCACTATTCACAATAAGCCAAGTTATGGAAACAGCCAAGATGCCCTACTACTGACAAATGGATTAAAAAATGTGGTAATTATACACAATGGAATTTATGCAGCCATGAAGAAGAACGAAAATATTATCATTCACTGGTAAATGGATGGAATTGGAGAACATCATTCTGTGAGGTTAGCCTGGCCCAAAAGACCAAAAAATCTTATGTTCTCCCTCATATGCGACATTAGATCAAGGTCAAACACAATACAGGGATTTGACTTTGACTCACATGATAAACGAGAGCACACAGGGAGGTATGAGGATTAGGTAAGACACCTAAAAACAACTAGCTTTTGTTGCCCTCAACGCAGAGAAACTAAAGCAGATACCTTAAAGCAACTGAGCCAATAGGAGAAGGACCAGGAACTAGAGAAAAGGTTAGTGCAAGAAGAATTAAACCTAGAAGTAACAGACACGCACAGGAAATCAATGTGAATCAAATTCCCTGTATAAGCCATCCTTATCTCAACTAGCAGGAAAAACCATTGGTCCTTCCTACTATTTGCTTATACTCTCTCTACAACAAAATTAGACGATAAGGGCAAAATAGTTTCTGCCAGGTAGCTAGGGGTAAGGGGGAGGTAAAAGGAGGCGGGTGGGGAAGGGGGGAGAAATGACCCAAACATTATATGCACATATGAATAAAATAAAAAAATAAAAAATAAAATAAAAATATTTTTATGGTGAACTCCTGTAACCTTTTACCAAGGCCAAAATGTTACGTATGCCTGTCCACCTTAGTTTTTTTTTATGCATGTCAAAGTTTAAACTGCCAGACACTTCTCTTCTGTTACTTCAGTATAAGCATCGTTATTTTTGACTAAGGCACAGGAAACGAGGGATTTTTGTACTCTTAAAATTAGAAAACTCTGCCCACAAAAGGTTTCTGATGATTTTAGAATTGATAGTAAGTCAGAAATAGGAGATCCTTTCATTCATTTGGTGATTTGCTGTTTCTCTTTGGATTTTTTTTTTTTTTTTTTTTGTCTTTCAGTGTTTTTCCATGGCCAAAGTTCATAAAGTAGGGCTTGAGGCAAAAATGATTTTGGATACCACCTTAGGGCCAGAATTCCTAACATTGAAAAAAAAATACAACATTTCAACTCTGGCATTTTGATGAGGACAATGTTTTTTAAAAACTCACCATTTACATATTTTGAAAGTATAACAAATAATATTATTCTAAATTAATTATAAATGGGTAGATTTTACTTAATGAAAACAACCTTTCTTTAAAGGCCTCAACTTAACTTTAGATGAAATTATTAAATAAGAAAAGTTTGTTATTCAGGTTTAAAATTACCAAATAGTTCATGCCTTTATCTTTTAGCGTTGTGTGGTTTCTCTAAAAGCATATGTGCTACCCTAGGGAACTTGTTAAGGATACAATTCTTTTTCCAATCTCCATGAAATTCGGAATCATCACCCCAGGAGGACCCAGAGTCCATTAGCATGTTTCCCTAGGTGATTCCATGTAGGTGATGAGAGAAAGCTTGGGATATACTTTGAGAAATTTTGTTTGATCTCCTGAAATTATTGGGTCTGATAATTGGGACATAAATGTTAATCACAGTGACCATTGTGTTTCCTTTTGGCTTTCCTTTGTTAACAGTGGTTCTCTTACACAGATCTCAGTGAATGCCAGCAGTATCCCCCAGCAAAATACAGTCCCTCTCTGTGCATGACTCTCAGTATTGTTCTCTTGCAGTCATTTTTATTGAGATGCTCTGTAGACAGACTTTTAGAAAAAGCCAACATTTTAGAAAAGTAGGCAATTTCTGGGTTAGCTGCTTCAAATCAGGAGCTTGTAAACTTCTTCTTAAATAGATATGGAATAAAAAGAGTGCTGTTACTACTGACTGTCGTTGTGCAGGATTGTTCAACCTTTAATGATAGGTTCAAGAGCAAGAATAGATTACCAAGACCACTTTCTGAAATGGCTCGGTTCTGTGGAAATAAGCAAAGGAAAGAAAATGACTCACAAGTCTTACATTCCAGCCACAAAATTGTGGTTAATTGAGCTTTTCTTTTTTTGCTTTCTGGTTGGTTTTCTATAACTCTTTTCATAATTTTTTTATTGCCTAAATTTATGGACCAATTATCTCACAAACTTGCCTTGTAAAAATTAATAGTCCAGTGACTTGTGAAATTTCATTTATTAAATGCCATAATTATAAAAGGTGTATGAACAGGAAGGACCTGTAGCTGTGCTTCATGGTGGGGTAGTGAAGAAGGATGCCTCAGCAATTCAGGGAAGGGCTGTTTTTTTTTTTTTTTTTTTCATTTTTCTTTTATTATTCATATGTGCATAAAAAAAGGCTTGTTCATTTCTCCCCCCTGCCCCCACCACCCTCCCTTACCACCCACTCCACCCCTCCCCTCCCCCCTCAATAC